TTTGGGAAACATATTTTTAAACCTCAGCAAAATAAGGAACAGCAGGGTGATAATAATTTTCTTTAAGGACTATGAGCATTTACTCAGCAGTTTTTTGGTTAGGAATTGTACAGTCACATGTAGAAGAAACGGTCTGTCTGTGTGTTAACGTGATGCTTCATGTGAGGTTGTGTGAGATTTGGTATTTTCCTCTGTATTTTCTGATTTCAGTCACATGGGGATTCCTCGCAAAAAAATAAACAACATAAAACATATACAAACATATGTGCACTAATGTGTGCCGTTGACACCCACCTGTTTTAGTTTAAATCTTTCCAACTAAATTGTGCCTCCCTGGAAAATGTGCAGGTAGCAAATGAAGGCGTTCTTATTTCTCGGATATGTAGGTGGCACTTACCTGAAAGTTTGTTTGAACGGTTTACATGAATGATCTGGTTTTATTTGAAGTGGTGTAACCCTGTCTTTCCATTTTTCAAAAACTGGACTGAAGTCTGTATTCCCTTATTTTCTATTTAATTAGACACAGAAACAAGTTGAATCAACGTTGTCAAAATACACACATTCCCACAAATATACTGTTTGTGAACACAACCATTCTGATTAATTAAACTCTTCTCTACTATTTATGATTCATGAGTTGAGTGTTTCCATTGACAGTTATTTCCTGTCTGTTTCCATACACACATCCTGTTTTTAACTAACGTTTGTTCTGCAAGTTTTACAGTTACAGACATTGTCGGGAAGCCCAAATATTATTTAACAATCAGATACACAAAAGAAGACTGAATAACACGGAAAAAGCAGAAACCAGTGAGGGAATTGATTTTTTGTTTTACTCTGATGGCAACCAAAGTGTGAATTCTTGGTCTTCTAAACACGTTTTACATATTACAATATGTTCATACTCATTTTTCCATGGAAATTCACTGCAGTTACCCATGTTTTAATTGTTGTATGACTGTCCCTCTGCCTCACCCTCCTGCTTGTCTGTAGTCTTTGTTGTCTGACTGTCGGTCACAAGGCTTTCGTGTCATGACAATACTTAAAACCATAAAGACGCTGCGAAGTGTAGAAAAACTGAGAGCTAAGCTAAAAGTTTACGGTCTGTCATTGAACTCTATCAGCTTGTGTCAAATTTCTGCTGGTTTGAAACCAGTTTCACAGTAACACAGGGTGTGTAGTCAGTAGGGTTTGTAAGCACACTTGGATTCCTTCCTAAAAAACAGTGCATATAGTTTACATGCTAATAACACTGGCACATAATGGAAAACAGCAGAAGAACAGTTGACCAGTGGTGGAAGTAGTACTCAAATCCTTTACTTAATACCACGATTTAAAAATACTGTATACTAATATACTAATAATATAAAAATATTTAATTGCAGGTAAAGTAAGTGCATTCAAAATCCAACCTAAAGGACCAGTGTGTAGGATTAAGTGTCACAGCGGTGTAGTTGCAGTGTAAATATAATTTTACTGTTGTGGCTGCTCAAAGTGTAAGTTTATCTACTTTATGTACAACTAGACATTTTAGTACAGTGGTTCCCAACCTATGGGTCAGGCACTCTCCAAAGGGTCACAAAATAAATATGAGGTGTCCTGAGATGATTAACGGGGTAGGAAAGAAGAAAAAGCAAAGTTTGCATCATTTTTATTTTACTTTTCTTGGCTCTAAGCTCTCTTGCTCTTAATCAGAAAAGTAACTAGTATCTATAGCTCTTAAGTAGTATAAAATAGATATATATGAAGTAAAAGTACCTCAAAATTGTACAGTACTGTGTAGTTACTTTCTATCACTGCAGTTGACCAGCAGCTCTTTGCATGCTTGTTAGCTACCTCTAAGTTCACAAGTTTTATACTGAAGTTGTGTTCTTAATTATTTTAAACCAATATAAGTGTGTACCATAACTGGGATTTTGTGAACACAGATAAAAAGTTGACAAATGCTAGCCTATAGTATGACTATCTGTCATATATGTTGTTAATAGTGGGTTTTATCGTGAAACTAAGAAGTCAAGTGCACTTGGTAAGCATAATGTTTGTGATGTACCTTGTGTACTATAAACCATTTACAACAACAGTCAAGTGACAGGATTGTTTCATGAGTCAGCACAACACAAATACAATAGGAAAACTTCCAAAGTTCATAGATCAAGGTTTGTGTGTGCCGTGTGCATGGCCTTGAGAAAGAGCTTGCAGTAAAATATTTTTTAAATTTACACAGTATGAGTACATGAGTGTATTTGTGTATGTGAAGGGCCCGATAAGCTGCAAAAGGCAACACAGAAGCTAACTGCACAGTATAATCGGTTCTGTAATTTTCACCACCACTTCCACATTGTGTACCACATATTTTGGTTGCATGTCATTGTGTTTTATTGGTTTCCTTCATCTTACACATGACACTAATGAAAGTCACTGGTTATAGCTCTGGAAATGACACATTAGCTATCGGAAATGCAAGGCACTCTTTTGTGCGTGTGTAAAATTAAAGCAAGATATGGTGTACTGCCTTGTACAGTCAGTAAACAGGTTGAGTGTCAGGTTGTAAAAAGATTAGAGTAGATTATGTAGCATTTAGCGAAGATGGAATAATAATAAACAGTTTATGATTTCAACATTGATTACATTTTTTGAAGTGGTTCTTGATTTGTTTTGTTTAGACTCATTGTTATGATCAAACAAATTCTAAATGTGAATCCACCTCCTGTGTGATGTGTCTTTCACCGATGACTGGTCATATGACCCACTGCCTGGTAAATGTGGGTCGACTTACTGTAAAAGGTTACTCAATGAATGGACATCATGTATTGAGTAACCTCAGTAAATCAGCTCTTCTCAGAAAATGCTTGTTAATGTTGGGGACTGATTATACTGACTTCCCTTTAAGTCTACCCAGGTACTGTACATGGGGATCACAGAGGGTTTTTCCAAAAAACATTTTTGGTCAAAATCAAAGAAATTATTATAATTATAATGAAATAATAATTATAATTAAGTTGTAAAATTTCCAAATGTTGCATTCTGTCTGCAACTGCGAGGCAGTCACACGTGTCTGCTCAGCATTTCTAATACTTTACTTATAGCTCTGATAGGGTCCAATGATACTGACTATACTGCCATGAAGGCAAAATGCAGTAACTATTTGTTCAAAATTCAGAAACGAATCAGATCTGTTTTACTATAAAATCGTTATTTTTTTAAATGACCATTAATTCATTATATAAGCTGAAGCTATAACTAAATGTAGCCTACTTGTTGCTTAATATTTTTCCCCAGCTGTTATTTTTAAATGAACAATTTCCATTTTGATGAATTGGCATATTCAGTTTATTATTCCACGTAACTAAATCAGTTAGTAAATCATACTAACTAGCTCAGGAAATCTTAGTCACTGCCATTTCAGTTTAACTTCTAACAAATAAAGTAACTGTGTAAATGTATGAAATTGAAAATTTGTCAATCAATTTAATTGTGAATATTAATATTAGACTGACAGATACATTGCAAAAGAGATGCATTTAGCCCGATAAAATATAACTGCAAATTAGGACTGCAGCTAATGATCATTTTCATTATCGATTACTCTGATGATTCTTTTTTCAATTAAATGTGCCGTTGTGCAGTCAATTAAACAAGTCTACTGTAAAATAAGGTTTACTTTCTTAAACAGACTTTAGACAGACAGATTATCCAAAAGCAGAGTGCAATGTAAATATTGTAGGTATTAGGTAGGCTATGTTCTGTGGAAATTGGAACCATAAAAGGCATAAAATATCTATCTCTTATGCAGTTTGCCAGACAGCCTGAACATTTTAAACCATTTTTCTCAATCTCACTGTTTCCACAGTTACTGCTCTCAACCGTTGTAGGGCAGATTCAGGGTTAAAAACTCCACATAGTCATTGGGTGTGAGTGATTTTTAAATTTTTTTAGCTGGCATTTGCAGTGTTAGCAACACACCAGGAGAGGGCAACATTTCCTTAGGCTTTGGTTGCACAGTGTTTTTGTTCATAGGTAAACAGCTCCCACACATTTAATTGTATGTGAGTAATACAATTGTTCTACTGGACTTTTTATGCTGCTTCTGAAAGTGTAACAAGCTGAATCAGTTAATTAATTACTGTACTGGTCAGCATCCATAATGACAACATTTTATTAAAGGTTTTCTCCACATTCCTCTATGATGGTTACACATGGCAATCACCAATGCTATGTAGAGTTTATTGACTTCTAAGTAATAAAATGTGACAATAGCTGTGGGTGCATACTATCTATGGAGTAGATCCTGAAGGATCTGGTGTGAAAAGGAAACCCTCAGGCCCAGTGACAATACTAGTGTGAAAAGCAGTAAGATGCTTGGCATGGGAAACCGAGAGGAACGCTATCCCTGGTAAACTCTTCTAATTTCATTACTCTGCATGTTTCCTCAGCTTAGAGCCAATCACATAGTTGGCTGCTCTCTAGTGGGGGGTCACACATAACAGCCGCTAAATTGTGACAGTGGCCCAGGCTGGCATACCTTAGCACATAATCTGATTATCGGATCAATAACACAGCAACATTTGGTGCATAGCTGGGGTGGCTAGCTTCTTCTCTGGTTACACATTGCTGGCATTCACCACTCGTTCCCACTTTATAGGTGACAAAGTGTGAATGCGAGCAGGAATTCAAATGGAAGGCCTTTTAAATAAGACGAGTTGCAAAGCGAAACCTTGATCACATCTGGCTGGGCTACTGTCTCTAGGATTCACACAGCTACTAAAATATCCACACACAGATACATAGAGTGTGTGGATCAGAAACCGATCTACTCCACCAACCTTCACTTTCTGATGTGTGTTCTGCCTAATACTGAGACACTTTTTATGAAGCTAATTATAGTATTTATACACTGGAAGTATTTCTCTATCCAGCTACACTTACAGTGTCCTTTAAATTAGTAGTAGCTCCAACACTATTACTTATGAGGTCAGGTAAGGTAAACATTTAGCAGAAAATTTACCATAAAAATATTTATTGACATCACAATCTTCTTGGACACAAAAATGGGAAATGACACACACAAAAAAGAAAATTCAAAAAGTATTTAGAAAGTCCAAATTCAAAACACCCAAGAACGTCGCAGAGAACTAAAAGGGAACATCAACAAATTGATAGAACACAATCTTTGAGTCTGTTCAGAGCAAACACATACTTGTTGAGCTGAACACATTTTTGATATGTTTTTGAGAAATGACCACAAAATATTCCTTCATAGATAGATGAAAAACTCCACCAGAAACGCGTGGTATTGTCATCTCCATTACCTCTCTCTTTAGAAAACACAATTAACTGAATTACAATTATTTCAGAACACTGGCCTAACCAAACATTTTAGAAATGCACATAAACATCAATAAATAGAAACACCTTATTTCAGAGAACAAAATTATATAATAACCAAAAAAAGGCATCATGATGACAGTCACAAAGCATAAACCGCCATAATTGCTGCTCCTGTTTTATCGCTGCATGTTGCATTTGTGCAATGCAGATAAGTGGATGATGACAACCACTGTACCAACAAAGAACATGGGACAGAGATAACCAGGGACGTTGGAGGGAATCCCTGCTTGCCGCTATTCATCCCTCTGTCCCTCCATTCATCCCTCTATCTCTCTGTCCTCTGCAAAAGTCTGTTGTGATCCTGTCTTTCTCAGTCCAAACAGGTCACTGTGGCTCGCACCTTGCCAAGGTCTGTGCTGCACCGGCAGCGTCAGGAGAGAGAGATGCGAAAGAGAGAGCAACAGCACAGATTATAGACAGTGTCTCTCTCTCTCTCTCTCTCTCTCTCTCTCTCTCTCTCTCTCTCTCTCCCTCGCTCTGCTTTATCTCCATGGTGCACACACGTCAACCTGGAGCAAGGCTGTATACTGGCAGGGGAGGCCAGGAGCAGAGAGAGAAGGGGGTGGATAGATGGGGATGGAGTGTGTGGGGGGGATAAAGGGACACGCTGCTTCAATAGCGGAGCAGGTCCAGGGACTAATTGGATCTGGTAATGGCTGGTCAATGTGACTGAAGGGCTCGTTAGAACCAGTACAGCTCCTTGCCTTTCTTGTGCTGCTGGAGGCCTGAGAAAAAAGGACAAGGAAACAATGAGGAGGACAATGGCGAACAACAGAACACAGGTTGTCATGGAGCCTACTTTTGCCAAACATCCTGTTTTAGAGGGTGGAAAAAGAGAGCTTCTGTGATGATTATGATGCATTGTGTGTGTGTGTGTGTGTGTGTGTGTGTGTGTGTGTGTGTGTGTGTGGGAGTATCTGTGGCAGGGCCTAGGGTATTCAGCATCACAAATATATGCTTATATATGTTTCCTACAGTATGTTTTTCTACCATTTAACAATATCCATATCCGATCTGATCAAAAACATTTTAATGAACTGTAAATAAATGAACACTATATGTCCATACAGTATTTGTATTAATGGTTGAGTGGTTACCTGCATCCATGTTTAGTGCCAGCGTCTGGCTGACATCTCCTGGAGGAAGCAGGCCAGGCCAGGAAGCAGTGGGCTCCAGCTTGCTCACTTCATAGTGGCTTGGCAAGGTAGGGAGATGAGGTGGTCTCACCGTGGGCATGAGCAACGGCCCATAGTGGGGCTCCAAAGCCGATGGTGAATACAGTTCGTGGAGAGGCCGCGGGGGCCCGTAGGCTTGGGCCTGGGGATATGCCCAGCTTTCTGGTGGGTGGGGGTGGGAGTGAGGATGAGCATGTGGGTGGGGATGAGCGTGTGGGTGAGACAGGCCCGGGTGCAACCCTGATGCGTATGGGTCCATGGAATAGGAAGGAGCACCCGTCTCACAGTGGGACCGACTCTGAGGTGAGGAGTAGTTACTGTCCCAGAAGGAAGGGGGGAAGCTTCGTCGACTGCTAGGTGAAGGGGTATCTAACGGGAGCGGGAGGTAAAAAGTGCGAAGGAGGATAAACAACCATCACATTTACACCAAGTCACAAACAGTTGCACAAGTGTGTGGTGAATCACTTGATTTATAGAGACAAATGGAAAGACTGGAGCTGTGCAAGAGGAGCAACCCGTGCTAAAACGTAGATGTCACTCACATGACTGCTACACCCTCTGGCCCAGATATCTTTCCCATTGGATCATACTGTCAAACAGCCCTAGCCCCAACAAGACACAGAAATAAACACAACCACAGAGAGAGAGAGAGAGAGTGAAAGAGAGAGAAAGAGAGTGACAGAGAGAAAGGTAGAAAGAGAGACGTCCCTATATCCTTCTATATAAGGCAGACGTTCTGGCCTGGAGGGAGCCCAAGGCTCACAGAGCCTTAAATCACTTGCTGTGGTGACATCTCTCACTCTCATGTCAGCCCAGTACTTCTGAAAGTCTCACAACGCTCTCATGCACACACACACCCACACTCAGACACGCAACTCTGGCCCTGTGCTAGCACCCGCCACCCCTCTCTTCTGTCTCCTGCACCCCCACCTGTTGTTTTCTCTGCTCCCCCCTCTCCTCGCCCTTGACAGAATGTCAGCAAGCCATTATATGTTTTTAGCAGTATAATTTTATATTTAGATATTCCTCTGAAAACAGACACCGTGCGACACTCTGAGAGGTAGTGTTTCCCTCTGCTCCTATCACACAGATCACAGCATATATAAATCTGACCAGCAGACAGGCAACTGACTGAGCAACCATTGTGGGTCAAGAGCTGGAGCAAGAGTCAGAATGGCAGCCGCAGAGACGTTTGAAGGGGATACGCCGGCGAGGCTGTGCGCTTACGGCCATGTATAAACATAGCATCTGTTGTGAGGCAGGAAGCGTGTGTTAGTGCCGAAATGAAGACGTCTGACTGAACTAGGAAAGACTAACAGCGACAGCAGAGAGAGGGAGAGAGTAGAGGCTATAGGCCCTACATGGATATCCAAGGGGCATCTGCTGACTGTTGTTAAAAAGAGGCTTTGGTGTCTCTAGAAGATTTGTAAATGACCACAGTTTTACTTGAAAAATTCAAACAAAGAAATCTATCCAATGATGTTGCTAATTTAAACATTATTCAATTAGTTTCTTTGCTTGTACAAAAGCTTTATCATAATTTACAACAGGTTGTGAATCCCCAGTGTCTGCAGTGGCAAGGTAGCCAAAGCATACAACACAAGACCATGTAATGCCTAAACATCAAACATGGAATTCGAAAGCCTATAATATATTTTTTATGACTGATTTCTAACCCCAAAAACCTAAGAAAATCTAAGTGTGCATGATTTCTCTTGCTTTTCTTTAAATCGTTAACCTAACCAGAGTCATAGAAGTACCTTTTGATTCCCAACAGCTTCTGACCTTCATGACCTTTGAACCCCTACTCCCTGACCTCTCCGGGGACAACAGTCCCAGTAAGCAGCTCTTAAGTCCTGTCACCTGATCACATCACCTGTCTGATGCTCTGCTGTGCTCTGTAGAACTGTCAACTCATCCTGTGTGGCCTGAAAGGCCAGTTCAAGACGCCACACAGACAACTGTGCTCACATAAATAAAAGGTAATTTCAAAGCAGCAGGGATGTGGTGGAAGGCTAAACCAACCTAAATTCAGTTTACCCAACTTTTTTCAAGCTGGTGTGAATCTTCATGAAATAAATTAGTTGTAATGGTCGTAAGAAATCAGCTTTACTGGTGCAATAATACTCAGATCTGTTGTTTTGTTAAATCTTTCCATTAATGGACACCGTATCTATATGTAATTATGGACATGAAAAGTTATTTACCAAGATCTCTACACATGCACTGTACGTTTACTTTCTCAACGATAGGTGTGTGCCTTAACTTGTACAATAGTCTTAAGTCTGGACAATGTGGTATACCTGTGCCCTGTTGGTCTGATGCCCGCCGTTTGCCCTCTCCATCCATGTAGGAGCTGAGGGCCCTGGAGAAGTGCTCGTCCACCACGCTGCTGATGTCTCCCTGGTAGTAGGTGAAGAGGACACAGCGAGAAGTCAGGTACTCAGCCTCAGGGGCCTCCTGCTTCTCCTTGGGGCCCTCCTCTGGCCTCAAAGCTGCAGGCGTGTAGGAGGATGAGGAAGAGCTGGATGACGATGAGGAGGAAGTTGATCCTCCAGTGCCTGGGCCCCCAGACATCCCCTCGGGACCCCTGGGAGTGTCCATAAAATCCCGGCAGTGAGAAGAAGTTCTGCTCAGACCTGTGGGAGCCTGCCAGGGGGTGGGGGTCAGAGGAGAGTCAGGGGAGGAGGGGAGGAGCAGGGAGAGGGTTAAGACAGGTGTTGCAGTGGACAGTTCTGGAGCTGTCCATGAGACATTTTGACATCATGTTTTTCTTTGTGTGTGGCAGCAATGGCGTGTGTGTGTGTGTGTGTGTGTGTGTGTGTGTGTGTGTGTGTGTGTGTGTGTGTGTGTGTGAGTGAGTGAGCCCGCGCCCGTTAAGATATGAGTTTTGTGGGTGCAGAACGACTTCTGTGCTTGGTAAGACACAAACAGCAGCACTGCCAATAAAGATACTCGTAAATTACTTATTAAATCAAACGAATTCTGACATCACAAACGATATTCCCATCAGGCTATTTGCTTTTACGCACAAGCTGCTTAAAGAAGCGTAATAGTTGCTCCTCACCTCACCGACCCCCGTATCCCACCTAAAACTGGAAATAAGAAGAAATATCACTGGAACATTTAAATGTTTGCTTATTTCCTACCTGTAAGCTATTGAAAAATGCAGGAGCAGTCGATGCGTACGGTGCGTAATGTCCATAGGCTGGGTACATAACATCCAAACAGCTCATGGTAAATGAGCGGTGTCTTCACTGTTCTGTGGAAACCGACCTTGCTGAAAGAGAGAGTGACAACATTCCGGTTTTTATGCCGAGGAGAAACGGGCTCGTTGGTTGCTGATTAGGTTGAAAAAGCCCTGGCCAGACTCGACATAGTCACCAGAAAGAGCGCACCTCTCTGCTCCGTGTGTGCGCCACAACAGCTGCGGCAGCAAAATGTGGTGAGGTCTATGGAGCAAGCATGAGGGTGTCCTGTCCTGTACATCTTTGCGTCAACCCCTCCCACCTTTACCAGCCCTCCATCCCCCTCATCACCACCACCACCAACACTCACACTACCTCACAACATCTATAGCAGATTATTGATTGCACACGACCAAACGGATTGTTTTCCTTTGATATTAAAAATGAATTGGCTAAAAGCTGTAATCATTAAAAACATATGGCAGTTGTCAAAAGCATAGGTGTAAATAATGTAATTCAAATATAAAACATAGGCAACAGTGTTTTCTAGAAAAGCTGGAAACAACCTGTGACTAATTATAACTTTATCCTGGTGTAAAATAAAGGTTAAATAGAATGTCATCCAGTTACACAAATAGATTTGGATGAAGTCATTGAGCTTCATAACCAGCCACACAACAATGAGCACATGATACATGCGATTCAGTGACTTTTTATTTCTTTCCGTGTACTGTGGATACTTGAAAACTTTGTTCTCAGTCCAAGCTGAAAGTGTATCCATGGTCTTAAAACAGCCATCGGTTGCCAAGTAAACCCTCAAGTCATCTGAAGTATTTAGTGTGTTCCCAGAATGACACATAGGTGTCAACTATAGGTTGCATACACTGGTCATACCAACATAGAGGAGAAAGGGACTCTGCACGAATCTATGACAAATTATCACCTATCAGCAGTGTAAACAAAAGATATTTTCACACACACACACAAACATACCCGATGACAATCACAAACACCACAGAGGCAGAGAAATCATCATGCTTCCATGCCTCTTTTTTTTTTAAATTTAACTTGATAACCATCAAGTTAAATACATTCTCCACAAAGTGTAGTTTTCTCTTGTTTTAAGGGTTTACAGGTACCTAATGTTTGGGCATGCCAGTCTTTTTGACAGGCACTTGCCTGTGTGCCTGGGAGAATAGTGTGGAAAATTTGCAGAATTCCATGGACGAGTGTCAGATGAGGTGGAATGTCTCTGATGTATGCGAGTGGACGAGCTCCTCGGGAAGTTACATCGTCCCTCTGCTGCGTTCTCTAGATGAAGAACATGACCAACATCTCGCTATGCATACATCACACATGGTATGAATAACTAGTGGCAGGTTATTGGTATGCTAATGAATCGAACATGCTCTTAAATAGCAGTCAGTAGATGAAGCCGACACTGTAGCTCTCTCTTTGACCTTGTCTTGCATCACTGTCTTGATAAACTGATTTCAATTCATACTGCAATATTATACTGCAAATTGCACAGTATTGTATGGCATAAAGCCTCAGTAGAACATCAACAGAGACGAGTTTCTTAAACTAATTAATGATTAAATTAAAATGTGTAAATCCACTTTTCATACAGGTAAATCTTAAAGCTATTGGCGCTCTGCTCCTACTTCACTCCATTACTCTTGCAGCATGGTGTGCAGTATGGACTACTGGATCCATATACATGCATGGTAATGCAAGACAGAATTGGAGTCATGGAGAACGAGAGTGATGCAATGCTAGAAAGCTCACTGTTACACCAGCGTGATCAACAGCTGCGGCTGACAGAAGGGAAGGGAGGCCACTATTAGTATTAATGGCCATGACTAAATTTCTCTCTGTGTCTCTGTCTCTCTTTCTGTCTCTGCCCCCCTCCCCACTTGTCTTCCCTAGTGATACACACACCTTTTCTCTATTTAATCACCGTGTTCCCCAAGAACAGTCACACCCTGCTGTCAATTGTGTGTGTGTGTACCACAGGTGGTGTATGTGCACATACATGCCGCAACACTTGTCATCGACAGACCAAACTAGGAAGAGGGCAAGAGACAACCAGCTTGCACAAACATGGCTGAGATCCCAAAGTTCAAAACTAAGTCAGTCGGCACACTTGTGTTTGTCAGTGATACTTAACTGTGCATGCTAAAATCTTTGCATGTAAAGAACAGTATGTGCAAGAGTCTACAGTTGCTCTGTGTGTGTGTGTGTGTGTGTGTGTGTGTGTGTGTGTGTGTGTGTGTGTGTGTGTGTGTGTGTGTGTGTGTGCGTGCACAAGTGTGTGTGGAGGTCTCTGTGTGTCTACATTTACGTGTATATGCTGAAAATAAACACAGGTTACATCACTCCTTGTGACCCTCCAGCACATCTAGGCCCTGCCTCTTTTAAAAGAGGTCTGACCAGGCAAAGCCTCTGATTGGCTGAGATGTTGCAGGGCCAGTTGAGGTACTAGTGGCAACCTGGTTTTATTTAGACTACTATTCACATTGCAACACCACCATTAATAGTTTATACTCTATGCTACAATTACCGGAGTACATTAAAGATATAAGTGCAAACATATATTTTTATCAACAGCTTACATGACCATTAAAGTAAAACATCCTAATGTAAAAAACAATTGAAGAATCATGTATGTAAATGCAAATGAGGACAATGTAATCAGTAAGCTTATGGTGGTTGTCTGTAAAGCGGGGCTTGTTGAGATATGAACCTGAAACCATATAAGCTACCTCCTGAAACAACAAGGCCTTTATTAAGGTCTCAGTCTGGCTTGGTCCCAAGGGGGTCGGACCTCAGGATTCCACTGTTGTTTATATGCCTCAGTGTGTGTGTGTGTGTGTGTGTGTGTGTGTGTGTGTGTGTGTGTGTGTGTGTGTGTGTGTGTGTGTGTGTGTGTGTGTGTGTGTGTGTATGTCTAAGACAGAGATGTACAGCTGCCCCGTTGTCCAGTTCCACACAAACTCATCTCAGCTGTTCAAAATCATCACTAAGTGTCATCGGAAACACAGACCCCTGGCACACACACACACACACACACACACACACACACACACACACACACACACACACACACACACACACACACACACACACACACACACACACACACACACACACACACACACACACAAAGAGCCACATATGGACAGGTTTGGCTTGTTCATCCTTCTACACAAATGTTGGTGATAAATCTACTGTGATAGAATGTGCAAGTGTGCAGCTATTTTCTCCCTAAAAACAACTCCCTCATTGTCCACACAGACCACCAGGGTCCAGGATACTAGAAGTCAGTTAAATATAAATAAAGAATGTATAAGATCATATTTGTTGAGCCCATTCATTACAAATCATGCCCTTTTTACATTACTGCCAACCATTTTCCACAGCATACATACTTTTTTACATTGATTAATTGATTGATTAATGCATTTTTACATTGTCATTAGTTTCAGTTCACGGCAGCACAGTTTGAAAACCAACTGCAGGGACATAAACCTGACCTGAAATCACAGAAAACATCAATAATCTAGGATTTGGGATAAAGATCTTTTCCTGGTCCTAAATGATTTTCTCAAATATTTCTTGAAAATATATTAATATTCATCCCCAAAATATTGTCTCATCATACCAACACTCATGCCATTCTGTCACAGTTTTATGAGATCCATTTAATTGATTTGCCTTTAACTTTTATGCTTTCTCAAGCAAGTTACAATTGAAAGTTGATTTTCATGCCATACAAAAAAAAAACACTTACAAACACTTATAAACAAATTATACTGGAATACAATTCCAAAAACTTAAAGGTCCAAGGATTTTGTGGCATCTAGTGGTGTAGTTGCAGAGAAACTACAGTGGCCACAAAACCCGAAAAAAATGCAGATGCCCCTATGTAGAACCAGTGTTTGGTTTGTCCCTTCTGGGCTTCTGTAGAAACATGTCAGTTCTCCATGACTCCATGACAGGCGACCTGCAGCGTTTGTAGATATAAAACACTCATTCTAAAGTAAACATAACACTTCTATATTTCGGTGTTCATACAATAATGAAACCTAGTTATACATATTATATTTAATTTCTGCCAATAGATTTTCCTAAATGTTACACACTGAACCTTTAAGGTAATGTTTCATACAAAACACACACAAACACAGAGAGAGCTTCCACACAGGTAAATACACTCAATGTTCACTGTTTATTAAAGGCTAACCCTCTGAAATGGACAGAATGTGAATTAACAGCATCCTCAGAGAGTCTGACAAGTGCTACATTCCTAACATCCTATTACTGAGGGTACCCTGCCACCGCGCTGCCACTGGGTCACTGGAGTTATGCACACACAATCACAAATTCACACTCTCGATACAAACACACACATAAAGCCAAAGGAACAGGTACAAACACATGAAAGATGCACACAGAAACACTAATCTGGGTATGTGGGATTGTCACCTTCCTGCCTGACATTCCTGCTTCAGCGTGCCAGAGGGGGCTGCAGTTAGAAGGAAACTATTGGAGGCAGCGGGTGGAGGGAAAGAGATGCAAAGGGTGGACGGAGGGCAGAATCACAAATGTGGCATGTCACATGGTCAAACAGAGAAGATTTACGACTGATCAGGTTCCACATCGGCGGCATGGTGTTGTGGCTTCAGAATGCCAGGTATGGGAGTGAGATCAGACTCCGGCTTTAGTTTGTACACCCTTTCTGGCAACTGCAGCCAGTGTGACTAGCTGAAGAAGGCAGTTTGGCGTGAGGTACGTGGTCTTTCGTTGTCTGGTCTTTTATTATCTTCCTGGTCATTTAGATTTACATACCACTGAACATGCAGACATGACACAAAAGGTGGGACCATGCAGAGAAATACGTCTCAAAAAACTGATACAGGGTTGGAGTGAGAGAGAGAAGATAAAAAGCACTTTAGTGTAAAATAAGTTTCCCAAATAACAGACACAATAATACGGCTCTTCTTATCTGTCTTTTATTTTATTTCTCCATCTACAGTCAGGAGCTATGATTTACTCACCGGTGACATCATGGAGACCGCAGCTATTTTTATTGGCTGGTAAATGGCCAGCTCTTCTCCATTCTGTGCCACCTGTCCAATCCGCACCAGTCAACAAGCCCCTGGGAAAAAAAGTCAACCACCCAAAAATGATTGAGAGTTGAAAGGCGGAATATGATACATGCATGCCATGCTACTGTCCTAGGCATGTTTCACAAGTCAAATGTCTTGTCACTGCTACTGGTTTGCCATCCC